TGCATAACAGAGTCTATTTAACCTTTCTCACTACTTTTTATTTGGGTCTTTGATTTGGGTCTATAATTCTTTGAGTCTCAACTTTAGCTTTATTTAGTATTCCTTCGTCATTCACACATTTCCAAGTATTTGAAAATATTTCCTTTCCACTCAAAAATAAAATATATATAAAGGTTTACGGCTTTGGTGAAACTTCTTTTACTTTAGTTTATGCCGTTGAAATAAATAAATAAAATAAAATAAAATAAATTTGTCTGTTTACCGCATTGGAACTTGCCTTGGGCCGCATGCGGCCCGCGGGCCGTGGGTTGGACACCCCTGTTTTAGATAATTAAAACTACACTGTTACATTGCTTATTATCTAATATAATACCGAAATAATTAGGAGCAGAATATTACTTAATTTGACATATAATAATAATAATAATAAATTGTACGATATTTTTATTACAAAAGATTCTGTTTACACTTACTATTTTCTCTCAATGTGACTCGAACTTGCGCAGAACCAACATAAAAAGAGGCCCACCGGTGGACAAGCGGTCTTCGTACCCTGAACACTGGGAGTTCGGTCATGGGTTCGAGCTTCGCTCGGACGGTTTGCCATTTGGAGTTTTCCGGATTTTCTCTACGTCTAACGCTTAAATAGGGCCAGTTTCCCTTTAAAAGACTCCCGGAAGGCATCCCCTAGGCAGATCGCCCAAGTGTTGCGTTGCCAGAACTAAACAAACAAACCAACATAAAAACGATCGTAGATGTGGCACTATCAAACGAAACGAACGGATAGTCTAATCATCAAAATAAATGAAAAATTTTTAAATGAAACGAAAATTTCATTCAAAATTTTATAATTATATCAGCGAAATTAATATAAATGTTTCTGCCATCGCAAAAAGAATAAAACTGAAATGAATAATCAGTGGCGCTAATTGCTGATTTAATATTGCACCGTTACAGTGCTACTTTGATGCAGTGTCTTTCATTTCCTATTTTCAGTGATGCGTTATCCTGTGGCAAAATGGGCAATTGCCTGGGGCATACACCAACAGGGAGCCCCAAACGAAACTTTTATGAACTCAGCATTGTAGTAAGAATATCGAAATTTAAATCTGGCGACAAATCTGATGACCTTAGATTAGGGATGGGCAATCTGCGGCCCGCGTCGTACAAAATATTACAAAACAATATAACGCTATATAAATAAAAATTTAAAATACAGTAGAACCTCCATTATCCGGACCTCCAATATCCGGATTTTCGATTATCCGGATTGTTCAAAATGAACAAAAATTTTACGAATTTGCTGATTTGTACGGTTTAAATACAGTATTTACTTTTAATATTACCGATATGCACCATACAAAATAAAACGTGTTGTATTATCATTAAAAGACAAATTAAAGTATTTGTTTTGATTATCCGGATTTATCCTTATCCGGACTACCTTCATCCCCAATTAGTCCGGATAATAGAGGTTCTACTGTACTGACATCCAGTCGTCTGTAATCGTACTAAATACTAAGAGCCCGCTTATATATATTCGACGCAACTAGAGTTGGCCCTTGGATTGTTCATTTTTGCGTCTGTAAGGGGTGATAGAATTGTTTACGAATGTACATGTACAGTACTTTCGTAGACTGTCCATACGCGCTTGAATCCTTTTCAATATTAAATGAAGCCTAAGGTAGTATATGTGCATTCGTAAACAATTCTATCACCCCTTAAAGACGCAAAAATAAACCAATTCAAGGGCCAACTCTAATTGTAAGCACTATAGTAATTTAACCTGAATTCACTGTACACTTCATATAGATCTGTAAAGTTTTACGAACGCTTTGTATAGTTGCATTTAATTTTTTGGTTTTTTTTGCAAATCATATAGTACTATTAATTTACTGTGGTTTATCCGAATTATAGAAAATAGTACGTTAACTATTTGAAATTTTACGGAAATAGACTTTTTAATTTTAAATATCGAAGTTAGAATTTCTGTTTAATAATAAATGTTACTATTAATTTCCAAAATTGAAATTAAAAATGTTTGAACTAGAAAATTATTAATATTTTAAAAACAATTCAGACTTAGACTGGACGGTAATAAATACAAAAACCACATATGAGAAGGTTTCAACTTCGCATTACTTTCAATGCTGGACTGACCTTGAGGTTCGAACGCGGTTTTGTACAATAAAAGCTAGTTATAACCGTTATAAGCTCGATGACAAATAGCCAAATATACTGATATATTTCATTCGCATCAATTCCAGCAGACACATCAAGTACAGTATACCTATGTTAATTTATGAATATATGAATAAATATTTGTAATTTATCCGCATTTTTTTTCTTTTATGTCAGTTCGAAAGTTTCAAATATGGTCCTTACATAGAAAAAGCTTCTCCCCTGCCCTAGATTGACAATGTGGTTCAATTACTGAACACACTGGAAGTCGTGTTCAAAATCAAACGAGGATACTGAGGGGTTCCCCAAAGAAAAATGTCTGAAGTCAACACTGTACATGTGATCCCCAATTCAAATTTGCTTAGGCCCCATGAAGCTATAACGCACTGCCTATTTGAAATACTATTATGTCATTCTAGATGAATTACAGGTACTGTAGTGTACACATTTGAAAGTGTAAACAATTAATGAATAATAGACTCTAATTTTCACAAAATAATGTGATTTATTAAATACGATTGAACTAATTATGTCGTATTTAGGTTATTGTGTAAGTTATTTGTGTTTGAATATTCAAAATTGCTTTTTTTAATTGTCTTTAAATTATGTACTGTACATATATATATATTAAAATATTCAATGTAATTAATTTAAATGAGGTTTTAAATAAGAATATAAGAACATTTTTGTTTATATGTATCCAAATGTTTATAAATGTTTTGAATATAAACTATACACTTACATTTATTTAGGCGGTTTTTTTTAATCACATAATATGATCTTCTAAAACACTTAAGTATATTTTTAATTAATACGTATTTAAAATTACTTATATAGGTTAATAGTATATAGTTTACAGTATATAAGTTTATGAACGATATCATGTATTTATGATACGATGTTTACGGCTCCTATGTGACAAAGTTTGGCCACACCTGAAATAGCGTGACATTCACTGTTTGTAGTTTCGTTTAGATGGCTTCCCTGCAATAAGTCCAATTTGTTCTGCAGGGAAGCTTCCTTTCTCATAAGTTCCTTTTTGCACTCAGAAATTTTCTCCGTTTTTAAATAAAGTTATCAAAGTTATTAATAATGGGAACCTTTCTTTAATTTTACTTAAAATTTAATTTTTAGATAGATTTTCTCCCGTTAACGTGTATATAAATACAAACTGATTTAAGTTTTAGCAAGAGAAATTCTACATACAGTATTTCTTATTTTTAAATGTCGTTTTATAATATTTAAACATATTTAGAGAGACGTTGAAAACTGTGCTTTATAATTGTGTTAGAATTATAATTATATGTAGGAGTTGTTGATACTAGAAGACTAGCAATGTGATATACTATATTCATTAATATATAATGGATCATTTGTAATAATTATGTTCGTAGAACGTGTTAGGAGTTTTATGAGAATCTGAGATCGTTTTCTGTATATGAAATGTAAAGATTAAACTGACTAAGAATATCATAAAACAATATGTTGTTATCAATAAATACAGTATTGTGAAATGTGTAAGATATTGGGCTGCCATTTAAACATTTTTTAAAACTCTCTGCTTTGTGGGCACCATCAGAGCTTTTTTAAGCAAGCCTATTATGGGTTCAGCCAGGCCACAGTGGGGGCGGCTAGGTGGTTGAGGAAAGGAGCCACCTCTCCGAAAATTTTTCGGGGTTTTTCTACCCGCCCGGATTCGATCCCGGATCTCCACTACAATAATTAACTGAATGAATAATGTATATATTATTATTATTTAACTGTAATGAACTGTTTTATAAGCTGATTTTCATTCCAATCAATATATCAATAAATTATTAGGTTGTTGTAAATGAAATGGCAGATTTTTACTGTTCAAATTACATATGTAACATAATGTACATATTTTACTTCTGATTTTGAACCATTATTCATTTAATTTTAAACTTACACACATTCAAACAAAATTGTCTCCACCGACATTAATATACATTTCCCAATGCAATAGAAATGCATTAACGCCAATTTGATAGAAATCACGATAATGAGAAGTTTAAAAGTCATTAAAGGTTACTTTTAATTCTGTTTTCTTCCTCGAAGACTTCCCTTGCCAAAAAAACTGTCCAAAAACAAACAAACAAACAAATAAACAAAAAAAAACAAGTGGTAGTCTGTCGGCAAAAAGTCTGGAGAATAAAGTGGATGGGGAAGAATTTCATTTGAATACTTTCAGTTTTGTGACGAATAATTAAAGAAGTGCAGACCCCCAAATGATGCTCCTTATTTCTCTCGCCGAGTTCTTGTGGTACCCGTTTGTCGATTTTCCCTAATGTGTTTAGATGTTGAGAAATGTCTGATTAATGTCCAGTATGTTCAACCATTTCGCGATTTCCCGGACAATCAGGTGATATTCTTCAATCCTGATTTTTGAGATTTGTATTCCCGGAATGAAATTTTTTTGAACCAATGCCTGATCGTCTGCTCACTCACAGAACCTTCATCAAAAGTTTTTATTAGAAATTCGGATTGCTTCTGCTGCATTATGTCCCTGCTTATACAGTACTCATAAAATAATATTCAATTTCCTTTTCTTTCCATGCCGTCAGAAAAAGTTTTCTTAAACACGTGAAACTCACAATATAAATAAGATTACATTTTAAAATTCACGTATTATATGTGTGCTCTTCCAATTGCAAACATACAGCAACGTTCACTTGAAAAAAAGTTTACAAGTTTAACATAAAAAAAAAGAAAAGACCATTTCATTTGCAACGACCAAGGCCAGGCCACTGGATTCATTTTCTGTTAGTAAAAATTTTGTTTATTTTATTTATTTACAGCAACGCGGTACAGGGGCGATATGCCGAAGGGGATGACATTACAAGAAAATGACCTCAATTTAGGTGTTAGTAACGTGAATAAAACCCGGAAAACTCCACATGGCCACTCCACGCTGGCAGTTGGTCGTTGGTTCAATCCTCGGAATTTTATATTAACTTTTATCTAAAATAATTCAAATGTTTTGACGAGTTTGTGTTATGTACTGTACAGTACATTGAGAAATAAAGATAAAAAATTATTAATTTTTCTATTAAAAAGTATTTTTTAAAAAGCTGTTGTAGAAGATTAGCTGCTTATTTTCTGTTGGATATCATAAGTTTTATTACTTTCCTGGCTGTTATATATAACAGAGGGAAAGTATGGCAATCGATCAAAAATGACCCACCCCAAGATTTTTATATTTTTGAACTCGGGACACATTGAAACGTCGATAAATGCAAAATTATCTGAGGGAATTTCTGTATGTATCCACGTTAACTTAATGTGTGGGGGGCACGATTTTGTTCACCCCTGAAGCTTAATAACTCCTGTGCTTTTTGTCGAAAATTTCTGAAATTTCGCATGGAAGTTTATGAGGGGGATTGATACTATTAAATTTTGGCGATTAAAGATCGAGGCGGTGAGGAGATAATGGGGGTCGTGTTTATCTCCAGTAGGATCGGACTTAATGACGATTTTACTCGTTGTTATCATTTACAATTTTTTTTTATAAAACTCATCCCTACCCTGAAAATTAAGGTTTTTGCCGTTTTACAATAGTTAAAAATAGAAAAAGTTTTTAAAAATATGATAACAGATGGCTCCACCAAAATTTTAACTTTTGCCGGGAAAGTTGAGCAACTCGTTGCTAGTTTATTTTTAATATTTATTTAATAAATTTATATGTTCGGACTCCAGCATTTGTCTCGGGCGCATGATTCGGAAGGGCCCAAAATTTGACATTCCATATAAAAATCACGATACGAATTAAAGTATTTATATGGTTTTTTTATGGAGCCTTATATTTATGACTGACGAGGAGCCCCATCTTACCACTCAGTTGCTGTGCTTGTTAATGTTTCTAAACTAACAAAAGATGTTTAAAATCTCCGAAAATGGATTTCTGTGAAGGAGGTTTCTTCTTCGATGTGTATTATGTCATTTATATATTTTTAGTGTCTTTAGTCGAGCAATGTGTATTTTTGTAGTTGTAGAGAGAATCCGATATCTGAAAACAGAAGGAATAATTTGATCCTCCTGTTTCTCTAATTGCGTAATAAATAATGCCACATGTAAATAGTAGTTTTATTTTTTCGTTTATGCAGTGGCATTTACTGGAAATGAATTTAAATATTTACTTCGCCAAAAATATAAACACAACGTAACGAAATAAAGCAACGAAATTAATATAACAATTATTCGTTGTTTTTTTCTGGTGTTCTTTTATAATGATAATAATGACAATAACACCTCTAGGCTTATATCTATGGCTAGAGGCTCATTAAAGTATAATAATAAAAGATCATTTTTAAAATAATTTGAAGACAAGACGTAAATTTAATAATTTTCGGGTCTACAGTATTATTTATTCACACATTGAAGGGGACAGTTTGCTATACACAAGAATTTATCTTTGTTTACAGACTATTAATGTGTTTTTTTTATATTTTAGAGGCAATAATCTGCCGAGTATTATACATATAATTAATTTAATTACTACTACTACTATTATTATTGTATTATAGTGTGTAAAAAGAACGTTTTAGAGGACGCAAAATATTATTTTCATGTATTGTTTAAATTATTTTATTTTGGCCTTGGAATTTTTAAAATGAGTCGCTCTATTTATATTTTCGAGCATATATTTTAATTGCTATTCTTCAAAGCTTTCGACTTTGCGTGTTTAAAACTAAATAGCAATTATCTTCGATTTGTTTTTTTTTATTGTTTTATTTATCATTTAAGTGATAATTTAAGTATTGCCAAGGAATTTTTTTCTTCTTTTATTGTATTAAAATTAGTTTAACTTTGACGTTTTCAGAGATAAGAAATGTGTTTATTAATCAAATAGTTTTTATATTTGTCCGCTTATCAACAATAAAAATTAACACTTGATAGTTTCTTATCAGTGTAACTTACATTCGACCAAAATCATTGGACACTGTTTTTTTTTCTGTGTACTTATAATATACATGCGTTATATGCGGGATATATCTAAACAGCAGATTTCTTGCGAAATTTAGAAGTATTTTTCTTTTGTTAACGTATCGAGTTCCCTCATTTAACATCTGGCTTATATACGTGAATACATTTACACACACTTCAGATCTCATGAATGGTGTGAAATTATTTTTGACGTCCCACTTTGAATTGATCTATTTTAAAATAATGAAAAATAAAAAGAATTTTTTGGGGAGAGCCAATGAAAATACTTATTTTAAAACAGTTAAAAAAAAGTTGATGTAACAAGAATATTCTCCCCGTAACAGGGATTTTTCCTTTTTATTAATAAACAGTTTGAATTATTATTAAAAATAATGAAAAATAAATAAATAAAAATAAAATTTTAATTTTAATCTATTTAATTTTAATTTTCTTCAACGTTAATGATGATAATAAGTAGAGATTTATTAATATTACAATAATAAATAATTAACTAATTATTAATTATGGTATAGTAATAATCAGTTAATTATTTGTAAATATAATAATTAGACTTTATTTTAAAAGTTAAATCTAAAATTTTTATGCTAATTAAACAGCTTTAAATCTAATTACCACTGGAGCATTAACTTCTTTAAGGAACATTATCCTTCTTTCCTGAAAGAATTAAATTACAATGAATAATAATAACGCTAAAATGGGGATTAAACCCTTACATTTAGAAGATTTAGTTTATATACCACGAAGTTTTATATTATAAATTATGTTTTCCATTATCCTATTTGAGGGTGATTAAGAGATTGGCTATTTTTATTGGTCGTGCATTTAGATAAAAATTTAACAGCAAGTTCTTTTATAAACCTCTCCCCAGTTGGCAGCAGAGATGTGGGCTAACTATCACTTATTTTTATTTTATTTTTTTATGAGAAAGTTGTTGAAAATAGATCAGGTTTCACGTATCTTTTGCCAGGCGTATTTTCGGTATAAGTTTATATTTTAAATTTTGTTCGAAGCCTCGATTAATTTCTAATTATAGACGGATTACTAATTAAATTAAATATTAATTTCGTATATTTTGCGCTTTATTTTTTTCCACGTCTTGGTTTATTCTATTTTTAATAGGGACCTACTTAAAATATATAGAAACTGGAACAAGGTTTTCATTAGTATATTATTTCACGCTTATATCAGAGGAAAAGGTGTGAAGTTTTATGCTTAATTATTAAAATGTTTAAATTTTTACTTAATAAATTAATTAAAAAAATATTTTTAATTAATGGGTAAAAAATTATTTATTTTTTTGTTGTATTTTTAATAAAGTTTGAGAAAATAAACTGAAATTTTACTAATACTTCTCTTCGAATTGGAAGTTTCTGCAAAGAACTTGTATTACTTTCCCTTTATTTTTTTTTTAAGAAAAACATTTTCACGTCTAAGGAGGCTGACTTCCTTCACTGGTCATACGTTGATGTTAGGACTATATTTAGACGAAATCGGACGGAGTGTGCTTCATCGTCTCTTATTCTTTGTGTAGTTGCTTGTGCCTCGTCTTGTTGTCGTAGTTCGAATTTCTACGTTTTTAACGCTTCCCTCGTTATATCTGCAGGAATGGAAACATGTTTTGAACCTTGATTTGTCATTGTGATAATGGTGAGAGTTATATATTAAGGTAAATCGGAGAGAAAGAAAGAGTATTGCGTTTATAAAGGTCAAAATTGATTTATGGCCAATTGGAAAAATTCCAAAAATTAGGGAAAATTTGTTATACTTATGCTAGAAAGGCTAAAATTTTAATTTAAATTATTATTTTGTTTTATAATCATATATTTTAAATATATATATTACTTATAGAGATTGTGCTATGTTTCAATTAAGAATTTGTTCTGTTGCCATTCTACAAATTAATTAAGAGATATGGCCGAAGACAACTTTTCTGTTGTAGTTGATTCGGATTTTGTGCACAACATTACGTCTCCTGTGGTTTTTGCAGAGGAATATCATCCTTCCCCACTGATGGAACTAATAGATGACGATGAGGATGAATGTAATGATAATGAAGAATGTGTGGATATTGATGATGATGATGATGACAACGACGATGAATTATCACCAGAAAATGAAATTGCAGTCACTTCTGATGAATTTGAATGGATTCAGTCAAAGTTTGATTCAAAAACTGAAAAGCAAATAAATTCTGATTTATCCATTAGAAATTTTGGAAATGAAAAAAGTCCATCCATTTTAAGTAATAAAAATGAAGTTGCTATCTCTGCTACTAAAATAGATAGCTATAAACAAGTTCGTAATGACTCTTCAACAGAACAAGCTGAAAAAGACAAGCAGTCAAATCCTAATAATAATTTTAAAAATTACAAATCTGATATAAAACACGAAGGAGTATTCGTTCCTTCAAGCTCAGAAGATAAATATAATTCCCAATTTTTGAATCAGAATAAACCAATGGCATGCTATCATAATTGTCATCATAACTGTATTCCAAATTGCTGTACCGTTTCTTCTAGAAATGTTTTTTGTCAACATGAAATGGATATTTCACCTTTTGATAAAAATTTTTATCATGATTTTTCACATTCTAGAATTAGTCACCATTTCTGCAATTGGTATCTCACTCACGTACCAAGCAGATTTCACTGTTGGCATAATCAAACCAATATTATTCGTTCACAATCTATAAGCGATAGAGGGGCTTGCTCATCTTCGCTATCTCCTTACGAAACTTTCCCACGAACGTTGAGAAGTAGCTGCAATCACGATCTTGACGTAGAGTCTAATGAATGCTTTTTTACTGATTTTCAACATCCGCTGGATGCTGATATGAAGAAAAATAATAAGGTGAAAAATAATTAAAATATATTATATTCTGAATAATAAATTTATTATAATTTATTTAATAACAAAGTGGCTAATATGTTAATAAACAAATAAATTCCAAAGTATAAATTGTACTGTATAAGAGAATTCAAAAAAATAAAAACAGAATATGGATTCCACGTCTTACAGAATAGAATAATCTGTTTGGCTCTACATGAGAATAGAATCTGTATCCATAACAACTGATTTTTTCTTGTTATATTTATTCAGTTACTGAAATATATAGGTTCTTTTTTCTTGTCCGAAGTTTTTATTTTTAGTAGTTATTTGGTTTATAAATTAGAATTATATTATGGATGTTGTAAGAATAAACCATGCTTTCATATACAGTACTATAAATTCTCTGGAACAATAGCATAGAGATTGAAATAATTCTCAATTATAGATGTGAGAATGTAATTATGTGATTTTAGAATCATGCTTTATCTGCCTTTATATCTAAAATTCATTTTAAAGAGTTGAATAGACCAAAAATTAGGCAGAGGAAGATTCCAAAAACAAATATGTGAGCTAGTACTATTTTGCACAATATTCAAATGCCAAACTGATCCCTTATGTTTTATGTTTAGCATATTATTTGTTTATTAACTATACATACTTATGCTAACTATGTTAACTATACTATTTAACTATGCATACTTATGTTAATAAAATGAAATATGTATATAGTGCCAGTTATGTTAATATATGATGATATTCTAATTGAAAGATACTAATTATGACAATGATGATTGTATATATGCTATTTTAAAGTATAAATCTGTTGAATATATGATAAGTTGTGATTATATTTAATTTATTTATAATTACATTTAAATATTTTTATTAAATTCAATTTTAAAGATTAAAATATAAATGATTAAAGTTTATTCTTTTTTATATAGCAAATAGTCTTAGAAAGAGATAGGCCCAATTTGAGTCAGTTGTTTTACTCTAATGTTTTTGAGTCTGTTTGAATGGTGATTGTTATTTAATGATGGAATGAAAATCATCCTAAGAATGTTTAATCATAATAAATGGAGACTCTCCGAACTTTATTAGTAGTTTTTAGTTTTTTAAGTATGATGATGGAGTTGGTAATCTCAAAGGAAAAAGGAACAGCTATTAAGCTTAATTTTAGTGTCATCTTTGATAAAATTTAGAAACATAAACAGTATTTTTTTAAACATTCTAATTTTTCTAGTTTTAATTTTAAAATTGAATTATTAATAATTTTTTTTGGAGTATAAATGTCTTTTTTTAAAACTACTATTTTTTTACATTTAATTATTGTTTTTTGCAAATTTTAAAATATATTAACATAAAAATTTAGTTTGGTGAATATTTTCATGATGATATTACATCTATTAGTTTCTTTTAACTTCTACTCTCTTAAATTAATTAAAAACCTACTAATGTGAGGTGGGAATAAGGACTTATCACACCAGTGATTGATACCTGGGTATTTGTGCTTATTATCACTGGTATGATAAGTCCTTATTCCCACCTCACATAGTAGGATTTTAATTAATTTAATTAAACCAAGGGCAAAAAGCAATTTCTTTATATTAATTCTACTCTGTTGTTGAAATTGAACATAAAATTGCTTTAGAGAAGTTATCACACAAGAACTTCTAGGTAATTTATCAAACAGACTTTATTAACTAAAAGAATAGAAATTTGGAAACTCTTCTACTCTCTTCTGTTCAAGCATAGAGTGAGATAGGCTGTGTGATATGCTAAAGCTGTGTGAGATAGCAATTTAAACAGTATGAGTAAATAAGTAATTTGTGAAGGAGTTTTGTATAATAGTATAGTAAATATAAAATATTCAGAAAGATACTAATTTAAACTAATTTTAAGTTTTATCAAATTAATTCCTAACAGTTCTTTAACTGAAAATATTATTGTTTGCAATATTTTATCTATACATAATAATACTTATATTTATTATACAATGATTTTTTTGTAATGTAAATTTAAGGAAAGCAAACTTAAAATTTTCTATAATACAAAAGCTTCCAATTAGCAAAATATTGGGTTGATATAAAACTGGATTTGAAAATATTAATAAAAGTATATTAGTAATAATTCATGAAATCAATCAAACATAAATAAGAATAAATTACTTTTTATGAAGAAGGAAAATAATTAACATAATTACACTTTAAAAATATTTTAAAAATTATTTTCTATTGTGTAAATTTATCATACACAATAGAAAATAATTCTGTAACACATAATGTAAGAACATTTTTAATAAAAATGTTCTTACATTATGTGTTACAGAAGATACAAGTACAGAAGATACAAAAAGTCTTTGAACATCCATCTTCACAATACACCAGCATTATACAATCTTCATCTACAGAAACAATCCTTTTATGGAGATCATGCCTCTACAATATTGCAAATTTGTATAATGTCCTCTGATGACATTGCCATTATTAAAAAACAAACAGTTCATTACAGAGGTGTTGCAATCCATACAAAGATCCTCTCTGTAGATGAAAGTTGGGTGTCACTGGAAAACTGGTGATTTCGAAGACTTTTTGTATCTTCTGTATTTGTATGTTTTTGTATGGCCAACTTCAAAAGACCATTTTAATTTTTTTTGTTGAAATGTTTTACTATTTTTTATTTATTTATTTTTTAATGATTTAGTTTTTATTTCTTCTTTAACAAGAAATAGTGTTTAGACTTTATAGAGGTTTAGGTTAGACTGCTTCTGTTTTATCTTTATGGAGTGTTGAAATGTAAGAAAAATATATAAAAACATTCTCAATGGATTATTTTCATTATTTACAGAATGGAAAATTTATCATAATAAGTGTTTGACATTTTACTATCAGAAATATCAATTGACATAGTGTTATATTCAAAGATACATCAAATGCATCTTTGATTATACATTTGTATTATGACAACTTGCAATAACAACAATATTGTGACAAAAATTCTTTGTCTTTACAAGTTAGAAAATGTATAGGTATTAATAAAATTTTATTTTAATCAAGCATTTTACATACTAAAATTTTAGTTCAATTTAATAAATGTTAATTGTTTTTGTAGGTTGGAGGGTTTGGACAAGATTTTGAAGATACACAAGAAAAACTCCATCATTTAGAAACTGAAAAAGAAAATTTACATCTTCAGGTATTTTAAGCATGTTATTCATTTATTTTTAATTCACTGCTTTTGAATTTTGTAAATATTTAATTCATAAATAAACAAATAAATAAATGCTATTTTCAGGAATCAAATTTTTTTTAATCAGTAACATTTTCTGCTGAAGATGTACTTATAAAAGGACAAAAACATTACTGATTAAAAACAATTTGTTTGATTCCTGAAAATAGCATTTATTTATTTGTTTATTTATTTAATTTGTTTTTAAATTTGTATTTTTAAATAATTAACTAATGTGTTCAGTTTTGGTATGATTTTTAATCATAAATTTGACTTATATACAATTAATCTGCTCAAGATGTATATATAATATTCAGTTTTTTTATACAGAACATTTTACTAAGCTATGAAAAATTTTATTATTTTCTTTTACTTTTCTGGCTCTTATAGAGTATGGTGGTCGGTCAGATTTTGGTTTTCCTAGTACTTTTTGCATTTCTTCATATTCTGACGCTCCAGAAGCCAAAAATTTAAAAAAAGACCCTTTACAAAAATATGTGTGTGTTGGCACCTATTTTGCATTATATCTCAGGGCTGGATGAAACAAAAAATTTTTAAACTTTTTTATATGTGGAGCATTGACGCTATTAAAATTTGATGGTTAAAGGTCAAGCAGGATTGGAGACAAAGGTCATATGTCATATCTTCACTAGGATAAAAAACTTCCTTATATGCATTTACAATTTTTACAAAAACATCTACCCTCAAAAATAAGGCTTTTATTAATTATTATAAAAAGGCAAAACTTTTTATAGTAATTAATAATACAAAGATTGTTTTTTAATAACATCTCAACAAATAGCATCATATTTAATTTTAACTTTCAGCCTTATTCTTAGTGTATTTTTTTTTTTTTAAACTTAAACATTCTTATTTGAAAAGTAGAGAAATTTCTCATAATTCAATAAAACTATTCTTTTTAAGCTATTAGTATTCTTTAAGTGTTGCATCATATAATAATTGAAAATCACCAGACTTTGTTCTGGTCACCTTAGTCACTTTATTTTCAACTGTTTTATTAATAGAAGCCTGTGTGATATGATTTGAAGAAGCTAAATAAACTTCATTTTTTTCTGTTTTACTTGTTAATGTTTATCTTCACAATCATTTGAAACTGAAGTTCAAATCAGAAATTAATAAATACATAGCTAAAGTAAAACTTTAAAAGTTGGCTGATGGTATTTAATTTTTAAAAAATACGGTATACTCCCCTATAACGCTTAGATACATTCCACTTTATAAGAATTTTACGTTGTAGGAATCCTTAAATACATGAGCCAATCACAGCCCGACACGTGTGAAGTTTATGGACTAAGGCTGTTTGAAAGGTTTTCTTCTATAAAATTAACCGATTCTAGACTAATTTGACTCAACATTTCCAAAACACGTATAATTTTTTGGGAATAATCCGTATAAACTATGCTATAAACAAAAAATTGTAGGATTACTTACCGAGTGTGCACTGTTCGACTACACCATTGCTTATGCTTGTTTTCGTCACAGAGCAGCGCACCAAACGGCGGCCGCGTTTTCTGATAAATTATTTTTTTGCGAAAAATTTGTTGACCTTTGGAGATTTTATTAATAGAAATAATTTTTATGGCCATTGAATAAGAAATGTTTCTTTCACAAGAAATGTATAAAATTAGTGCTGTATTAGACTTACGGTACCTAATTTACATACTGTACA